GGCCCCGGGACCGAGGCAGCGGCGGCAGCGGCGGCGGCGGCCACTCGAGCGCGGGGGCCGAGCGGAGGGGCCGCAGGGAAGGCACGGAGGGAGGGCCCGGCCGCTCTGCCCTCCGCCCTCCGCCGCCGCGCCCCCCTCCCCTCCCCGCGCCGCCCGGCATGGACGGCGGCGGGGGCGGCCCCGAGGGCACCGGCCTGGGTGAGTGCGGGAGCGGCCGCCGAGCCCCTTTCCCCGTCCCTTCGCTCCGGGCCTGGCGGCGCAGCAGAGCCGCGCTAGGCCCGGCCCGGCCCGGCGGTGGGCGGCGGGGAGAGCGGGGCACGGGCGCCTCTGGGCCGGCGGGGAGCGGGGGGCACCGCGGGAGGACGAGGACGAGAAGGAGGAAAAGGAGGAAAAAGAGGGGGCGGCCCGGCACGGATGGGCCCGGGGGTCGCGGGGCTCTGCCCGGGGTTGAACGCTCCGGCCCGGCCCGGTGGCTCCGGCCCCGCTCGGTGGTTTTGGCCCCGCTGTCGGGAGGGTTGGGGGGTTCTCTACCGGAGCGCTCTCGGTGTGCCGTGTGTCCCCTCCCCGCCGCACCGGGGCTGTGTCACCTGCCTGGGGGAGGGGAGCACGGGGAAGGTGAGGTCCCGGAGCCAAGCGGAGGGAAGGCGACATTCCTGTGGGATCGGGAACGGGATCGGGAACGGGAGCGCGTCCCTCGGCCCGGCCCTGTCCCGGTGTTCCCGGAGGGGTCAGGAGGTGAAGCGGTTCTTCCTCCCCCGGTGCCGTCCGTGATCCCCGGGAGAACCGGGGGGTTCCTCGCATCCTCCTCCGCCTGTCCCTTCAGGCGCCTTCCCCTGCCCTGCACTCCCGGTGCTGCGGGCGCCCCGGGCTTGGGATTTCGGGGCGCATTCCGGGGTTGGTCGGGGGTGATTTTGGGGTGATATCGGGGGTGATTTTGGGGTGATTCGGGGGTGATTCCGCTGGTGATTTTGGGGTGATTCCGGGGGTGATTTTGGGGTGATTTCGGGGTGGTTTTGGGGGCGATATCGGGGGTGGTTCCCCGGGTGATTTTGGAGTGATTTCGGGGTAGTTTTGGAGGTGATATCGGGGGTGATTTTGGGGTGATATCGTGGTTGATTTGGGAGTGATTCCGGGGGTGATTTTGGAGTGATTTCGGGGTAGTTTTGGAGGTGATATCGGGGGTGATTTTGGGGTGATATCGTGGTTGATTTGGGAGTGATTCCGGGGGTGATTTTGGAGTGATTTCGGGGTAGTTTTGGGGGTGATTTGGGGATGATTTTGGGGGCGGTTTCGGGCGTGATCTGGGGATGATTTCGGAGTAACTTAGGGGTGACCTGAAGGTGATTTTGGGGTAACTTGGGGGTGATTTCGGGGCTAATATCGGGGTGATTCTGGAGGTGATTGAAGGTGATTTCGGGATGATTTTGGGGTAGTTTTGGGGGTGATTCGGGGATGATTTGGGGGTGATTTCGGGGTAACTTGGGGGCGATTTCAGAGTGATTTCGGGGTGATATCGGGGTAGTTTTGGGGGTGATTTTGGAGTGATTTTGAAGGTGATTTCGGGTTGATTTTGGGGGTGATTTCTGAGTGATTCGGGGTAGTTTTGGGGGTGATTTCGCAATGATTTTGGGTTGATTTTGGGGGTGATTTCGGAGTGTTTTTGGGGGTAATTCGGAGTAATTTTGGGGGTGATTTCAGAGTGATTCAGGGATGATTTCGGGTTGATTTTGGGGGTGATTTCGGAGTGATTCAGGGATGATTTCGGGATAATTTTGGGGGTGATTCCGATTTTTGGCTGATTTTTACTCTCCATGCAAACTTTTCCCCGTCCCACAAAACTTTTCCTTTTAAAAATCATCAATTTTTGGCACCTCCTGCATGGAAAACGATGGAAGGGGGAGCTCCGGGCAGGAATTTGAGGGATTTTTTCTCTTCCCGGGGGACAGGAATGCAGGAATTTTGAAAATTATTGGGATTTTTGGAGGAATTTTGAAAATTATTGTGATTTTTGGAGGATTTTTGAAAATTATTGTGATTTTTTTGGAGGATTTTTGCAAATTATTGGGATTTTTGGGGGATTTTTGCAGATTATTTTGAGTTTTGGAGTATTTTTTATTGTGATTTTGAAGGATTTTTGAAAATGATTGTGATTTTTTTGGGGGATTTTTGCAGATTATGGTGATTTTTGAAGGATTTTTGCAGACTGTAGTGATTTTTGAAGGATTTTTGCACATTATTATAATTTTTGAAGGATTTAATTGACTTCATTACCCAACATTGATACAAAAAACCTTTACCTGATATTTTCAGGAAAAAAAAAAATTCTCCAAATAGGAGCTAAATATAATATAAAATATAAATAAATATAAATAAAATAATAAAATAAATATAAAATATAAAATAAATATAAAATATAATTTTATATTAATTATATTATATTATTTATATAAATATAACACATAATTCCATATAAAAACAGAAAATATTGCCATGCTGTGCTTTTCTCCTCTCTGCCAGGATCACAAAATTTAAGAATTAACCTAAAAAATGAATTTTTTTGTGGGATTTCTGATTTTTTTTTATTTTTCTGGAGCAGGAGGTGAATTTTGGGTGTAAACAGAAGGAGGAGGAGGAGGAGGAGGAGGAGCCCAAAACTCACCCGGGATGGGCACGGGTGAATTTCAGGAGATTACAAAATCCCCTCTCAGCGCTGACCTATTTCTGGGTGCCTGATTGAAATAAAAAAAAAATTAAAAAATTAAAAATTTAAAAAATTAAAAAATAAAAATTAAAAAAATGAAAAAATTAAAAAAATTTAAAATTGAAAGACTAAAATTAAAAAAAAATTTAAAAATTAAAAATGAAAAAAATAAAACTAAAAAAATATAAAAAAATTAAAAATTAAAAAAAAATCAAAAATAAAATAAAAAAAACACGTAAAAATTCAAAATCCAAAGTCCCTTTGACGAAATCTACAAACGAGGCAAAATTATGCAAATTTCTGCTTTTTTAGGGTGATTTTTCCACAATTTTTTTTTTCCAAAATTCCCGTAATTCTCATAAATTTTCAAGGACAACAGGCAGAATTCCCAAAAAACCCAAAATTCCCGTGTCCAATTCCTAAATTTCAGTAATTGTTCAAATTTTTGACCAAAAATCTGATTTATTTCTCAAAAATTCAAAATCCAAACTCTCTTTAAGCAAATCCCCTAAAAATGAGGCAAATTTATCCCAAATTCTGCATTTTTAGGGTGATTTTTCCACGATTTGGGTACAAAATTCCCGTAATTCTGACCATTTTTTGAGCAGAATTCCCTAAAAATTTAAAATTTCCATTCCCGATATTTAAATTTTATTTTTTTTTTTTGATAAATTTGGAGGTTGGAATTTCCCAGGTGGCTCCGCCCTTCCCTTCCCTTCCCTCGGGAGGTTTCACTTTGGGAATTTTTCCCAGGATTTTCCAGCTCCTTCTGCCAGAGCTGCTCTCTTTGGGAACGGG